TCTAAGAAACCTGATATTTGGTCTTCCACGATTTGTTAGGACATGAAACTAGGCAAAGAAACAAAGTTGAGGTCTTATTTAACATAAGACTACACTACTTTTCACTGCATTGAGAGCATGAAAACACCATCAGAACTATAGGCCAATGTGCATGGATTGAAATGGATATTTTAACAGTAATGACACAATGAAAATTAGCTGCTATTTTTAATTTTTGTTCATACTAATATTTTATGGGTTTTTTGTAATTTTTTTTCACACAAGGTCTTGCTATGTTGCCCAGGCTGGAGTGCAGCGTGTATACATAGGCACAATCATAGCGCTTGAACTTCTTGGGCTCAAGTGATCCTTCTGCCTCAGCCTCCCAAATAGCTGGGATTACAGGCATGTGCCAGTGTGCACAGCTTTTGTAATTTTCCCCCAGTAGGAAAATGGTCAAACATTAGACAAATAACTTAAACTGGGTCAAACATAGTTGAACTATTTTTTTTCTTTACCAACTCTATAACTGATACAGCTCGTCATTGTTGGGTCCATTTGAAGACCTGCAGAAATGATTTCTTACTGTGAGTGAAGTCACAGGTGGGATCGTAAGGTTCTTTTTACAGCTTCAGGGAGATGGGGACCATACGTGCCTTTACATGGAATTCTTGGTAGGAAGAATTAATTGATTCTGTTTGGTTGTCTTTGCTATTTAATCATTTAATATCATTGCCATCTTAGTCATCAGTCATCCAAGTGGTGGCAAAATAGGGAGACATGAGTGAATTTCATTTTAAAAATTCAAATAGTTGCTTGATTTCAGTGCATTGTAGTGCATTTTCCCAGCAATAGGAACATTTTACAACAATTGAGATAAAAATGCCATAAGTTCCATAGCAATTAAAGGTGTACTCATAGGTAAGAAAATAACAAAACTTTTAACTTAAAAACAGATCTTTTTTAGCACTACAGGTTTATTTAATTCATAAAAAGTATCTAGCTTTGCTTCCTTTAAATAATAAACATCCCTATGTGGTTAGTCTTTAGATGCCAATCATTCACTTCTGATTAGGTTTAGAAAACTTGAAATGGTGCAGGAAACCTTTAAAGCATGATGAATTACAGCCAAACTAAAATCAAGTAGAAAGTAAGCCAGAGCATCTGAAAGCATCTCTTTAATTATTATGTAATAACTAATATTCAATGTCTAAATCTAACTTAAAGGCAGCTTTTAAAGAAATTTAAAGTGGGTTACCTTAGTTACATTATTGAATCAAGTTAACAAATGGGTATCTCTTGAAAAGGGACACTCTAGGGACTTAAAAAAGCTGTAAAATTTCTTTTTCTTGTTTTTATTAATACAGATAATTATGGCCTTTACTTAACATGCATAAGTCAATTAAACAACTTAGTATTCACTAAATTAAAAAGAATTATATCAGAAATAGGAAACCCAAAGGAAAAAAAATAATATAACTAACGTTAGTCAAGCTGTTTAACCAGGCTTGTATTTGAAGTCTCTTGGGCTTGATGCAGGGATCACTGTTTTCCCTCGGGGTAAACTTTCCGTTGAAAGTAAACTTTCCTTAACATTTTTAACACAAGGTGTTGCAGTCAGAGAGGCACTTGAAGATCTGCTATTCTGTTTCTCTGCGAGCAGTCTAGTTCTGGCCTCTAGGAGAGGATCATGAGCTCTGTGAAGATTGCAAAAGACAAACGGTTAGTATTTCATTTTTTTCCCCTAAATGATTCCTAAATGACTTGCATTTTAAAATTCAAAAGTTGCCGTAAGAGTAAATACAATTTCCTATCAAACAATGTTTTAACACTGCAAATGTGTCAGAGCATGCCTACTGTGTGCAATTATAGTTTTAAAATCATTCTAAAGAAGGACATATATTCCTAGGGGGATTTCTAACAAGTCATCCAAACAAAGTATGGAGAGGAGGTAAAGGCCCGTCAGTGATGTATAGCTTATCAGGTAACACTTTCTGCTTTATAAGGTTCTTGAGGATGACGTTAGAAATACTTGTGTTTTAACAGGTAACTATGTGAGATGATGGATATATTAATCTGCTTGATTGTAATAACCATTTCCTTATGTGTACATGTGTCAAAACATCATGTATACTCCTAAAATACATACAATAAAAATGTAAAATTAAAAAAATGCTAGAAATACTTTGATTTAGTAAACCAGTTCGGAGATTTAGAAAACCATCCCTCAAAGATCTTTTCAAGCCCTTGCTTTCACCACCCTTGTACGTTTTGCCCATTATCTGGGAAAAATTAAGTTTTTGGCACTGGGGAATAATTCAGAGCAACAACTTCTAGGGGAGAAGGAGATAGCTGAGTTGGTGATCAAAAAGAACTAAAGCAGCTCTAAAAAATTAGCTGCTAACATTGTTGCCAAGGCACCAGAGGTGGGGCTTGTCCTTTCTGTCTTCCACACACACCTGACCCTCAGGCTGAACAAGGTACTATTTTTAACCACTTTGTGAATTATCCATCCCTTCATCCTTATGTTAATCATTCTCTATTTCACAAATATGCTTTTATGTAGTGGGGAAAAACTATACAGAATAGTTGGTCTCAAGGTGTCCTCTAGTGACAACACCAAAGATCACAATCAAGGAAAGTTAATTTTTTGAGTGCCAGAATTTGCTGAGAGAGAGTAGCAGTAGTACTTGACTATTTCGGTTTAAGTTGTAATCTTCCGAAAATTGTTAAACTCATTAATATTTATAACTTAGGGTAATTCTGACAAGCAATTTAAAACAATATCACTGTATAAATTACAAACCTTCAAAAATATGTAGGAGCAAGACAACATGAGAATATTCAGGGGAAAAAAAGCCATACAAAACTGAAAAAAGTGAGCGAGACATAGACTGTCCCTTAACCAAACTTCCAAAGGTAAGTTCATACACTAACATCATTTTGAAAATTATATTATCTAGTGAGTTTTCATTTCCAACTAATCTCATAAGCCTGCTTCACTAAAAATTATGCTTTTGAGGTAAATTAATGAGCTTAATTTATTTTCTATGATCCTATGTTTTGACTTACATGCTTAGTTCATTAGACAATAATTTTCTAGCTTTTAAAACTTTTAGATAGAGTTGCTTATGTTTTCCAAATATTGGTTTATCAACATCTTCTTGAGAAGTTTCTGTTGTGGAGAGCTCAGATTCAGAATACGAACTATTGAGTTCTGTCAGAGTTTCTGTAGTACCAGCGTGCTCTAAGACTTCTTGACATGATGTTAGTATCTAGAACAAATTAAAAGGATACATTTTTAAAAATAATTATAATCTTAATAGTTATTGTATATTTGTTTCCTTTAGTTTTGAGTCAGTGATTCAGACAGCAGTTTTAAATGAGTGAAAAAATAAGTTTAAAATATTTATCAATATCAACTAAATTATTAATTTAATTCAGAATTAAATTCCAATTGTAAAAGAAATTGAATCATTTTTATGTTAGTACTCATGTGATCAGATAATTCAAAGAGCAGAATCAATTTAAAATTTAAAAATTAAACTATGTAGCTTAAGAACAATTCAACAGTGTGGTCTAATTTCTAAATCACAATTTTTTTCTTTGCCTAATAGTCTTGCTTTATGCTACATGGTCCTAATAAACAAATGATTCTCTAGTGATAATCATTAATCTGAAAAACCAATTTAGTTTTAATGATGATGGAAACTGAAATATTTAAAAGGAGAATGAGATGCCACCTTTCCTTTGGCAAGCTACAAGATACATTTTAAGACTTCTCTATAATAAAAACATAACTTTTACCTGATTCTTTTGTCTTTTTTATTACCCTTTTTCTCCATTCCACTGGACCCTAATATTCTATTTTTTTTTTTTTTTTTTGAGGAGGGGTCATACTCTGTCACCTAGGCTGGAGTGCAGTGGCACCATCACAGCTCACCGTAGCCTTGAATTCCTGGGCTCAAGTGATCTTCCTGCCTCAGCCTCAAAAGAGCTGGGACTATAGGTATGTGCCAGAATGCCGGGCTATATTTTTAAATTTTTTTGCAGACACAGGGTCTCCTATGTTGCCAGTCTTGAACTTGTGGCCTCAAGTGATCCTCCTGCCTCAGCCTTCAAAAGGGCTAGGATTATGTGAACTCTAATATTCTTTAGTACATGTCTCATCCAGAGATCTAGTTTGCCATCACTTATTGTCTTCTTTCAAACTAAAATCCGATTTTCAATCCAATACTTCCAATAAAAAAAAAACAAAAAACAAAAAACTCCGAGGGCCACGAAAGCCCTACTTTTTAGTCTTTAATCTGCTTTACTTTTTTTAGCACCAACTGCTAGTGTTGAGGCCCCCTTCCCCTCTGTTCCTCTGACCCCACTTCCTTTCTAAATGCAGCACCTCTGATGTTTAGTCCTGTCCCTTGCTATTCCTCTTTTTAAATTCTCTCAAAGCTCCTTAAATCTCAAGGATTAGATTCCCAAATCTATGTTTCCAGCCCTGAGTTCTTTACTGAGGGCTCCTCCTCCTAGTTCACTTCTCATAAACAACATTTTCAACCACACACTCAATGACCTTTCTTTGGCGTGGATTACTTGTGCAGACAGCTACAGCTACTTTTCTACGTTTCATGTTGATTCCTATTGGTGTTACTTTGAGTGTAGTGTTATTTTCTGATCTTGGGGGGCACCGTCAGCCCTAGGATGTTACCCAGGATATTTTGTCTTTTTTTTCTTTTATAATGCAAAACTTTTCGACAAGGGTCAGATTATTAATTGTTTGCCTTTGTTTTCTTGTGAACAACTTCCTTTTAAATAGAGTCAGCCTTATGGAAGTCTTGTTGTAAAGTCTCTTTCAGATGCATGCGCAACTGTATCATTTGGAGCCTTGTGTCAGCTAGAGCTCTCTTGCCTTCCCAATCCAGATTTTTCACCTCAATATTGTGTACATCAAATATCTTAGCCAGGGCAATTTCTGCCTTTGGAATTCATGAGGTGAGAGCTTTCTGGAGAAGTTAAGGGCTATTGATTCAGTTGGTTGAAAGTTGTTTCTTACGAAATTTTTGATTCACAGGATATACTTAAAAGTGGTAAATAATTCTATGCTATATTCCTAACTCGTTTCTATGGAAATCTACAGAAAGTCCCTCATTATTTTTGACTAAGCTTAATAGGTTTTGAATATTTTAAAAAATTTTTCTATTTTTGATATCTTACTATATTCCTGTATGATACACGTGTAAGGGGGTCGCTCCTGGCACTCTCCTTCACAAGATGCTCCTTATTAATATGTTGTCATGTCACTTGTATGAAAAGTATGCTAATAAAATGGGACTAATTTATATGAAGCCTAGAAAAAAATAATTTTTCAACATTTCCTTGGCCATGAGAAATGCCAGTCAAAAAGAAAAAATATTAAAATATCTTCAACTTACAATGGGTTTATGAGTATATAACCCCATTTTAAGTCAAGAAGCATCTATATGACAGGTTAAAAATCCATAATCTGAAAATCTGAAATTCAAAATGCTCCAAAATCTGAAACTTCTTGAGTGTGGACATGACACCACAACTGGAAGAGTTCACATATGACCTCATGTAACAAGTGAAAAAACACTCAACACTTTCACTGCAGCGAAAACACACTCAAAAATAAAAAAATAATAAATATTATATATGATTACCTCCAGGCTATGTGCATGAAGTGTATATGAAACAAATGAATTTTGTATTTAGAGGTGTGTCCTGTTTCATTATGTATATACAAATATTCCAGAATCTTAAATACTTGTGGCCCAAGCATTTTGGTGGGGGTTACTCATTCTGTACTTCTACAAAAATAAAATTCCTTCTCAGTATGTTACAAAGTAAGAGATTGACTTACCAATCTTATACTTAACAGGTTTTTCTCATGCTGCTCAAGTTGGTTGACTTGCTCTCTGATTATGACTTTTAACTTTGAATTTTCTATTTTGAGCCTAAAAGGAATATTTTAAAATAATTAATCTCACAGATACATTTTTTAAATACCATATAATTTGTGAACAAATATCTGAATGTATAATTACACAAATTCTTAACAATTTGAAAAGTAGATAACTTCACAACTTTATCATTTTCCTAGCTGAGTTTTGTGGATAATGTGAAAAATTTAGAAATAATGTACAAAAAGTATGCATTTCAAAATAGCTTAAAGTTGAACTTTTTCCTTGGCTTCACGTAGATATATTTATTATCATAACTGATCAAATTCTTATACTACCCTGCTTATTTGCTTTATAATACTCAAGTTATTTTTTGTACTGTTTTAAATCATACTTTTTCATGTCACCTTGCATCTTCTCAGCATGTCTTGTAGCCCATTTTATTTCATTGTGGACTTCTTTCAACTAAAACAAAGAACAGAGAAAAACATTTACATTTGGAAATGGCCCAAATTACCATCTATGGATGAATGGATAAACAAAATGTAGTACATATAAAAATAGAATTTCTAGACTATCACACTTTTTTATTTAAAAATAATGATAGTCTAGTACAAATCTTCCTATCACCTGTTTTTGTAGCTAAATTTTATTGGAACACAGCTATACTCCTTCATTTTACATATTGTTTGTGGCTACTTTTGTGCTGTAATGGCAGAACTGAGTTGTTGCAACTGGGATCTTATGGCTCACAAAGCCTAAAATATACTATCTGGCCCTTTACAGAAAAGAGTAGCTAGCCCTCCTCTTCAATGAAAATGCAACATTATTCTTGTATTTAAATTATATTTTATCAGATAAATACTTAAATCTAAAAAAAACCTGGTTAAATAGGAAAGATAGCAAATTACTTATGGAGACCATTCATACTTTTTTTTAAATTTATTTTTATTTCAGGATATTATGAGGGTACAAACATTTTGGTTACATTTTATGACTTCGCCTCACCCAAGCATTAGAGAAATACAAATCATACTTTTGAATTCCAAGCATCACTACATCAACTATCATTTTATTTCATTTTTTGTCTATGCATTTAGTTTTATTGTATCAAATCAACATGTCTACTTTTAACATATAAAACTGACCATCATATTTATTTTTCAAGGAAAGAAAAAAAAATTTAAAGATAAACAGGAAGAGCAGTACAATAGAAAATGTCAACCCCAGGTAAGATTCTATGGTTCTGCTAATTTTCCCACCAGTGTCAGGGCTCAAGTCATCCCTAGGAGAGAATTTATTTTAAACGTGTCATCTTTACCTGTAAGGATGACTGCTAAACATCACAATTAAACATGATAAAGGAGAGGCTATCTTGTTAAAATTCCCATTTAACCCACCCAACCATGTCAAATCCATGCTTTGCTGACCATATACACACCTATTTTTTAAAGTTTTTCTCTTTTCTTTTTAAGCCAAGAGAAAGTAGACAGATTACAATACTAATTGTCCATATTCACATAGAGACATAATGTACCTTCTGAGTCCAATATGAAGGGAAAAGAAGAAAAAAAGCTAGAGTTTTTCTGCACTACTACACAGGAGCCCAGCACCCTCCAGCTTCCGGCAGTGCAAGGGGAGCACATTTTTCTTTCTTCCCCGCAGGGCACAGTGGTGGTGATTTCATCCCGTTTTTGTTGACACAAGGGATAAAAATGAATTTGGAACAGAAAGGGGTAGAGATTCTTTTCCCATTGTGTTCTGCTCCAGGCATTTTCTCCCAAAATAAGTTGAGAACCAAGAACAGACCTCCAGAACAGGTGACTGAGCACAAGAGGGACAAAAAAAAAAAAAAAGACTGCAACTTGCTCCCAGGACTGGAGAAAAATTTTAAAAAGGGACGTTGGAATCCACCAGTGTCCTGTTAGCCATCTTCTTCATCCTCCTCTCCTTCCTCCCCTAATCCTCATCTTCACCTTCATCCTGTTCTTCATCAATATCTTTCATGCCTTCTTCATCATCATCATCATCATCTTCTTCTTCTTCTTCTTCTTCTTCTTCTCATTCCCCTTCTTCATCATGTGTATTGGGAGCCAAGTGGTCCTGAAATGGATCTGGCTAAATATCCTCTTTGCTGACCTCTTCTAAGTCATCGCCATCTGCACCAGAACAGTCAGTAAACAGGCACAGCAGCTCTCTGCTTCCTCACGCTGCCTCCTCATGCTGGCCTTGTTCTGTGTTTGACTTAAATGTTTCCTCAAATGATTTCTGATTTCTGTTTGATTTCTGTGGAGTTTGAAGATGGATCACCATTCCCACTCAGAAGAAATTCTTTGGTGAAATCTTTCTTTTTGAAGTAAGAATTTTCAGCAAAATAAAAATGTATTCTATAACCTGGTTTCGTATCTTCAAATGCTGTCACAAGTCTGGTTAAATATAATGCAGGGCCTCTTCTACCTCCCCAAGCAGTGTACACACTTGTGGATGGTTAACAAATGCTGTTACCCCCAAATTTGGGATGTTGGCGATCAATTCTGACCTCTTTTGAAAAAATGGTTGTTGGTGGAGTTTGTTACATTTCTGTCATCCTTTCAAAACCTCCGCCCTGTCTTCTTCAGTCAGCCCATCCGTTTCATCTTGTACCTCATAAATATGAGCAATAGCTTCTTGCTGTTCTTTCTCTGTCGTGTCCTCGTCCAGGCGGTTGGCCTTGGGCTTCTTCTGACCGCCTTGGGCATGGGTGCGGTCATGGGGCTGTTGGGCCTTCAGGGAGAGGAGGGGAAGGTGGTGGCTTGTGGGTGGGGGGTGGCTGGGCACCCTCACTTGTCTCCATGCTCCACACTCCAACTTGCTACTGGGCTGTAGTGAGCCCTCGCCTCCTTCACACCAGCAACTATCATTTTACATGTTTACAGATGTGAATGACCCGGGCTATGCCAGTGAAGATAGAAATTAACATGATGCTTTAGGTGACAACAAGATGTTTCATGCGATAGTTTTAGAGGCAGCATCTACACAGAAGCTATAAGGCTTGGGTATGAATTCCAGCTTCACAAATTCCTAGTTGTGACCTTGAGAAATTAACTCTCTGCATCTCAGTTTCTTCATCTATAAAATGGAGAGAATAATAGTATCTACCTCACAGGGACATTGGGAAGACTAAATTGGAAAATGTACATAAAGGACTTAGAAGAGCAGGAGGCACATCATGAGTGATATGTAATAGTTATTATTAGCATTATTAGTTTTGTTGTATTTAATGTTCTAATAAAATTTGATATGTTAGGCAGGCGGCATGCCCATGGAAGTGGTCTCCTACAGTTGCTCTGAATCATTCTTCACGCTACCAAAAGTGGCAGCAAATGGGGAGCATGAGGTCCAGAATACACCCCCAGTACTTCAGAGAACCCTCAGGAATTCCACCAGCCAACAGTACATCTGTCCACTTATGAGAAGGTATATAATAGCATACTTCTTTCTGTAGTACTCAGTGGCCAATGATCAGGTACTGCAATACAGAGCATCTCCTGGAATGAGTAGTATGGGACTTACATGACCATCAGAGGCAGGCTAAGGTCATGGACCTGAAAACACTGGACTCTACTGCTAAATCAAGGTTCTTCAATCAATTCATTCCCAGCAATTGTTTATGTTGGGCTGTGTTAGCGAGCACTCTGATTAGCACATTGAGGTTATGTGGTATGGAAGATCAGAAAGGTTACAGCCAGAACTTTTCAGTTGGTAAAGTGCTATCAATCTATAAATCCCAGTTCTGGCTACATAATGAATAAAGGCAAATTTAGATTTTTTTTTTCAAAGTGAGAAGAACATGAGCATTTCATTGAACAATTCTCTTCTATTAGATTAAGTAGTTTCAATTTTATGTTTAATTTCTTAAAACATATTTAGAATAAAACTATTATGTCAATGTCTCAAAGAAGAAATTATCGATATGGTATAAAATATTTAATTTTATCCTAACAACTGTTAAGCTAAAACATTTTCAATTTATACAAAGACAAATGACATGCATATCAGTTATTACTCACCTTAAGCAAATTCATAATTAGACAAGATTATCTCTTATAAAAAAAGTAATGCAAAATTATGGGCTAACTTATTCTGCACAAATAGACAAGTGCTGAAGTATATGGTCAATGACAGTAAGACCAGTCAGAAAAATCTTCACAAAGAAGGGGAAAATATGTGCCAGGTCTAAATGAATAAAGCCAGATGACCAGAGACTGAAAAAGCAGCAAGGACAACATGAACAAGGCAGAGAGACGGTGAAATCCACCAACAAACTCTGAGGATAATACCCAGTGGCAGGAAAATAACAACGTATGTCCACACAATAACTAATGAATGAATGTTCACAGCAGTGTTATTCCTTATAGCTCCAAGTGGAAACAACCTAAAGGTCCATCAAGTGATGCATGGGTAACTGGTATAGCTATACAATAAAATATTATTTGACAATAAAAAGAAATGAAGTATTGATAAATGCTACAAGACAGATGAACCCGGAAAAAATTATGCTATCTGAAAGAAGCCAGGCCTAAAAGACTACACATTATATGACTACATATATGTTTAATGTCTACAACAGGCCAATCTATGGAGACTAAAAGTAGATAGTGGTTGCCTAGGATTGGGAGAGGTGGAAGGACATATTGGGGGTGGAGGTGGTGGCTAGGGACGTAGGGTTTCTTTTCAGGGTGATGATAATGTTATGAAATTGATTGTGGTGATGGTTGCACACCTTTGAATATCCTAAGAGACAGTTAAATGGGTGAACCACATGATATGTGAATGTGACCTCAATAAATTTGTTTGTAAAAATACAATGGCAGGATCTGGACAATTTTCTTAATTCTCTATTTTGGATGTACCTACTATATATGACCCGAGTATTTCTATGCTTTTACAATATAATTAAAATGAAAGGAAAATGAAGGAAACTAACATTGCAAATAGTTTGTAAGTTAACCTAAAACATTTGAATTTTGGAGAACAGTATAATAGCCTGTCTGTACAAGTTAACCTGAAATTCATGAAGTAAGTACACACAGATTCAGCATCCAGTCAGAAAAGTGAAGGAAAGAAGTAAGACTATGTTCTGGAACATTCCATTAGACATTATCCTCTGATTTAATCTGGCTTGCCTCACCATGGCAATATAGAAATCACTAAAAAATACTTTTTAACAGGAAACAAGTCTCTCAACTTCTGTGAAGAATGATGTATAATTGTCAATTTTCTTGAAGATAAATATTATAAGAAAATATATACATAATAAGAAAAATGGCAGAATGAAAGGCAGAGTTTAAGAAATAATTGCAGTATAAATAAAATAGTAACAAATTTAATTATAATGAAAATGCAAAAGAAAGCTGTACACTGAAAGTAGTATCCTAAAAGACTTTATATTATTGAACCAGCTCTAGATGAACTCTTAGCCTGTTAAATTTCATACATACTTGACTTGTGGTTTGATTTAGTATCTTTGAATACTGGGCTTCATCTTGACAACGTGGCATAATATCTAGAGAAGTTTTGGACCTAGACAGGTTTTGTACGGTATCAGCCAGCTCTTGCCGAAGTTGTCTCACAATTACCTGGTAAGATATTTTTGTTACTGATGTTATAAATCACCTTATTATTAAATTATGTTAATAATATTTAACTCTAACATATATACTTTGAAAAGTATCACCAGAAACATTGATTCACCTTCTTTCTCTCATGTGTACATATCCCTGTCTATCACTGAATTCAGTTAAGGACACCACAGAAGGTGTTATCTTCCTGCCAAATTGGTATTCTGTTACTCAGATTCAGTCCACTATTTATTCCTCCCCTGATGAATGGCAAAATGCTTAACAACCTCCCGAAGTTTCCAAAAGAAATAGCTATGTGGGTGGGACTGGTGGTAGTAAGTTCTACATTGTGAAAGGTTTTCCCTCTTCAAATCAACCTCAGAATTTCTCACATTTTCAATCCCCTGCTCAAATCCTTCCAACAGATTCCTCTCTCAGAATAAAGGCAAAATTCTAATGGCCTTTGAGAACCTAGGTAGCCTGGCGCCTCCACCTCCCTCCCTGACCTCAGCTCCTGCAACTCTCTACCTTCCTCACTCCATTCCTACTATATGTGAACCCTGCTGCTCCTCACTACTCTGAAAATGGGGCTCCAATTCCAAACTAATAAATCACACCATAGCTACAACTACAATTATTCTTGTAATGGACAAATTTATATCCAAACGAGAGTCACTGAGCCTTGAAATGAAAATTATGAGCAAATTATTTATAAAAATATTCAAAGTAAATTATAAATATCGGTGGGATGAGTAAATAAAATATGGTTTTGCTAAAATTTACCACATTTGTCCCAAATTATGATTTAAAAAAAGTAGATGCCTTTAAATAATTGAGTGGTCATAACAAAACATAATTTGAGATGAAACTATTTTCAGATTTAAGAGAAATTGACATGAATGAAAGTAAATTTATATTAACTAAAATATATAAAAAGCTACTGAAGGAGAAGTATTATGATATACAGCAATACAGTTTAGTTCATCTCGGAAATCTGAAACTAACTATCTTAAGTCACTCATTTAACTGAATCTTAATTTCAAAATACTCATTTCAGGTATGACCATTTCTGTTTATTGCTTCATCATGGTCTTAAAAATGAGGCAACATAAAGACATTAAACTTCTTATTTCAGATTGTAAGAATCTATTTTTAATATTAGTCTATATTCAACAGTTTGTAACTTAAACTTTTAAGATTTCTTAAGTCACACAATGTCTTTACTCAAAAGTAAAAACATCTCTCAACTCTAACTTACCTAACAAGATATGTTCCTAAGCTGATATAGTAAATACATTTATAATCTATATATTTTTATTTTCAACTAGACTTAACATTTAGCCATAACCAAATATTATTTTGAATTTTCTTTCAGGAAGTTTGAAAAATATTTATCTCTCTTAATACTTACTTCAGTTTCTGTTTTCACTTTCCACCATTCATACTGTCTTTCTTTTAAATTATTACATTCTTTAATTAACTCTTTATTTTTCTCTTCTAACAGAAGACTGTGCTTTTTACTCTCATCTTGACGTTTTATTATAATATCGTGAAATTGGTCTTGGATACCAATCATTGTCTTTTCTCTAATATCAGCTTCGTCTTCAGCAGCCTTCAGTTGTTGTTGAAGTAACATATTTTCATTTTGTAACTGGGATAATTTCTCCTTTATACGTTCCTGATTTGCAACGTATTTATTCATTTCAGCTTGTTCTTTTTCATACATTTGTTCGATTTCCTTCTTTTGACACTGGCTTCGGCTTAGGTCTCTTTGCACAGTTTGTAAAGCCGAAGTCTTTTCTATGAGTGCCTGTCTTGTGTGGTCAAGCTCAACTTTGAGGCTATCAAATTTACTGTCAGCTTTAGAAAGTTGTTGAAGAAGACACGTAACTTGAAGATTCAGATTTTCCTGTAAGCAACACCAGTCACCTACTGCACTGTGGAAATTAAGTTCTAGATCTTTTTTTATTGTCTCGCTTTTATCACGGTCACGAATAGCAGCAGTCAGTCTAGAACAATAAGATTCAATTTCTGTACTCAGTCTTTCTTTGTTTTGTTTTTCTTTCTCCAGTTTAGAATCCAGTATTTCATTCTCAGCTCTCAGAGTACTGAGCTCTCCACTATACTGGGATATGGTTTTTGTTAATAGTTTCTCCTTCTGTTTTAAAGCATTTTGAACGTCATCATACTTTTCTTGTAAAAGTTCAAGATCCTTAAGATATTTCTGCTTCTGCTTGTTTATTAGGTCAATTTCTAGTCTTAGCTTGGCTGTCTCATCTTGCCACATGTGATTTTCATGCAACACGTCTTTTTCTTTCTCATGACTATGAGAAATCTAAGTAAAACAAAGGAAACTTTTAGCTAGCACTCGATAAAATGATATATCATGTTTTCCTCTAAAATCAAAGACTAGCCTGAATATTTATACAATGAGAGGGTTGTGATCAGTGGATATCCAATTATGCAAAAAGTTGGATCAAAAACCTCAAATCTTATAGAGCTGTGGTCCCCAACCCTGAAGCCAGGGACTGGTTCAAGTCCATAGCCTATTAGGGACCAGGCTGCAGAGCTTTGCCGCTCTTCCCCCGACCCTCATCTGTGAAAAAATTGTCTTCCATAAAACTTAGGAACAGGGTGGGATGGCGCACAGCAGGAGGTGAGCAGCGGGCAAGCTTCATCTGTTTTTATAGCCGCTTCCCTCCCCTGCATCACTCGCATCCACCCCACTCCTGTCCGTAGAGTAACTGTCTTCCATAAAACTGTTCCCTGGTGCCAAAGAGATTGGAAACCGCTGTTATAGAGCAATTCCCAAAAGTTCAAACATTTATTTGAAGACAATGAATCCATGAAAGCGAAAAAGAAATTCCTAGAGAATTTTCAAGAATTTCAAATTTGGAAAAGACTTTCTTTGAATTATAACAAATTCAAAGGCATAAAAGATGAATACCTTTGACTACATTAAAAATTGAGTGCATACTCTGATATCTAACCTATACATCCACCCATGGTGTATAAAAACGCTCTGCATATATTTAGAAAGATAAAATTCCCCAAAGTTCTTTAAGTTTGTTTTTTATGAAAAAATTTTACAGATATTCTACTTTCCTAACATTTTTATAGTCAGTTATAAGAATTACATTTATTCGTATAAATGATAAATCTAGGCATTGTACTAATAAGCAATTTTACATACATCAATGAGCTCATTTAGTTATCGAAATTCTGAGAGGTTAAAAATATAAGCAAGCTGCAGGATCTTCCCCAGCTCTTCTGAGTTTACTTCTACTAGGGCTTGTCCCCCAATCACAATTACTTCTTTGGTAGAAATATATGAACACAAAAGAAGCCATATATTTCAAAACACTTATGGTAAATAAGAAAAAAATTTATAGACCTCTTCTCAGAGAATCATGAGATTATTTGTTATTATTTGCATTAACTTTTGTATCTTCTTCATAATGTTTGAAATAGTAATAAGAGTGAAATAGGGGAAAATACATTGAACTACTATGAATAAAATATTTATCAATAAATTATCATTAAGTATATATTATAGCATATTATTATTTTCAAAAAGGCAAAAGTAGTTCTTAGTTATAAGTAGATACAATATTGTGAAATAAAATTTCTTTACAAAATTTTGAATTAGTTTAGTTTCAAATCAACCTAGCCTATATTTTAAAGTGAAAATGCCTAAATTAACATTTATATTACGGATTATACTCAACTTACCCTTCATTTCTTCATTCAGAAAACATACTGAGTATCCATTAGATGCCAAGATTGTTAATAAATAATTTCAGTTCTAAATGTCATAGTTTATTTTTAAGATCAGATAGATAATGTTTTTGGTTTGTTTTAAACCTCAATGATATAGTATATTAAATCAAAGGAATATTATACGTAAGACTGATGAAAAAAAGGTAGAAATATGAAATTTTTACCAAAGATCAATTTACCTGATTTGAATAATTTCTTATAGTTTTCAATTCCATATCGTATGGAATCTGTGTAAGTTGATGCTTCATTTCTGCTTCTTTTTCCATTAACTTTTCCCTCATTTTTTCATGTAATATTTCAGCATTTCTTCTTTTCACTTCTTCTTGTTTTAAGGTAAATCTGCAGTTAAATATACTTATCTTAAAATTCATTTTGTTAGAAAACAGAAAGTTTATGGGTTGGTTTATTATCCTAATAAAATTTCTATGTTCCTGAATATTTTTTCCTTTCCAGTTCTCAGGTTTTCAATTTCTCGCTTCAATCTTTTCCAAAGCACAAAAATACTTGAAATTGTTAGAGATAAAAGAACATTCTGATAAAGGGTAAGTTTCTGTTACTAGTCACTTTGATAAATATTATGGAAAAGTATATTAGAAATTATTCACCAAAGTTACAAGCTGAAAATTACCATTTTTACATAGCCATAATTACTCCTCAATTAGGACAGACCATTTAGAATTAACCAATTACAAAGAAGTTACTGCTAATAAACAAATTGATAAATTGACTAGAAATAAATTTTCATCTTCATGAAACAGTACAGGTATCTCTAAAAATGACGTACAGTGGAAGGGAGCACCTTGCAATGTCTTTCACCGACAAATATCTACAGATTACTGTAATCGAAGATGAGGCTAAGAAATCTAATATCAGTTATCCTATACTTTCTATATTTCTTTCTTGGATAACAGATTCAAATTATCTTGTTGATTATTACGTATTTTATAAACAATTTAAAAATCCCTT